ATTTGATTTATGAATTAATTGATTACTGACGGCACCGGCAGTGAACCCAATGGCTTGTGTGGCGTTCACAGACGCCCCGTCCTCTGCCTCGTCCGATGGGTAACACATATAACACATATTCTGTTGCCTTTCCACTCATATTCCGTCCCTTAATCCCATGTTTTCGTTTCCAACATATTTTCGCACACTTTGTTTGTTTGCATTACTCGTGTCACTCATAAACACATTGTTTGCCAAAAACCAGTGGAAGTAGTGATGACTTATGCTATGAGACGGGCGTTAACTTCGAGAAGGAGTCGGTTGTCGAGAGTCAGGAATCGCCGCAATCGCCGGTCTCTCCCCGAACCGGTCAACGCGTGCGCAGAGAGCGGACGCTATCGCTGTCTAAGTCGGCGAAGTCGGCCACAAAGACGGACACAGTATTGCGGACCAGACAGAGAACAATCTACACGTCAGGCCGTCCGCCCTGGTATGACACTCACGGCCAGTCCATCGAGTGCTTTGTCATCGGTTTGTCACCGAATATTCTGTTTGAAAGTTATCACAGAATTTAATGACAAAATGTGTTGCGATTTCAGGAATATGTGGCGGAAGTGCTTCGGGGAAGACAACAGTCGCTCAAAAGATAATCGAGGCGTTGGACGTGCCGTGGGTTACACTCCTCAGTCTCGACAGCTTTTATAAAGTGAGCCATCGATTGAATTCTTGACTTAAATCATGGCTAATGTCTGCCATTTGAATGTCAGGTATTAAACGAAGATCAGCACCGGTTGGCCCATAATAATGAGTACAACTTCGACCACCCGGAGTCCTTTGACTTGGACCTACTCGTTGAGACCTTACGTAAGCTGAAGGAAGGCAAACGAGTGGAGGTTCCCATCTATAACTTTGTCACACATTCTCGAGAGAAGCAGACTGTAAGACCATTGAATCAATTGATGGTTATATTGACTAAATTCTGTGAAATTCTGGAACTGTATGAACCATTGACTCCATAGAAGACTATGTACGGCGCGAATGTCATCATATGTGAGGGAATACTGATATTCGCCAACAAGACATTGGTTGATATGATGGATATGAAGGTGTTTATCGACACCGACTCAGACATACGACTGGCCAGACGTCTGCGTCGCGATATCACCGAAAGGGGCAGAGATCTGGAGGGTGTCATCAAACAGTACAACCAATTCGTGAAACCCATGTTTGACTTCTATATCC